TTTCAAAAGTGAAGGTACGTGACCGAAGATCAGTCTTTTTTTTTAAAGGAGCCAGCACACAGCTGGTTTTTCATTGATCATAAGCAGGGAGCAGGTGAACAAGTGACAAAGGCGATGATCCAGGGATCAAGGATGAAAGAAGAAGAAAGTGAAAGAAAAGGAAAGTGCCAAGGGCACAACCTTAAAAACTGATTACTCATGGCGGATCCCCGAAGGGCCTCTGAATGGGTCGGGCACCACACTGCTGCCATAGGCAAAGGTTGCGCCTGATCGCAGCTAGGATCTCTTCTGCATCAGCTTCCTTGTTTCTGAAGATGCAGTTGTTTCGCGCCTGTCAAACTTCCCAGAGAGCAAGCATAACCAACGATTTCAAACCCTTCCTGAAAGCTGGCTGTGTTGCTTCCACCATGACTGCCACCCTTTCCAGTGAGCTGCTGCTGTGATTCCAAGTCGCTGGTTGGCACGCCTGGCAGTGGTGCCAAGTAGCCAAGCTAGTCCAGGTAGTTTTGGTGAAGCCACATTCCCAGAACAGATGTTCTGCGCTCTCTAGGTTTCTGCAGCATAGTTGGCAAAAGTAGCCGTTGCTCCACCCTCTACGTTGAAGCCGATCGTTACACCACAGCCGATCTTGGTGCAGAAGCCATGCAAAAATTTTGATCTTCGCGGGTGCCCAAGTGTCCCAGATGATGCTCCTGAACTGGGTAGCTGACGATCCCAAAAACTGCATCGCGTATGCCAAGCGGGCGCTGTACTTGCCAGCGCCCTCAAAATTCCATCTGATCTGATCCTGTGTGTCCGGCTGCAACGTGACCTGATGCTGCTGGATTCGCCGCTGCAGGGAGATTGCGTCGTGGAGCAGGCCACTGGTATCGCCATGCGCGAGGTCGGCAATCCATTGGCCAACGCTAATGGCTTGTGCCACCGTTCTGTTCTTCCTTCTTGAGTGCGCGAACAGGGTTGGATAGCTGATCTTTAGCGGTGCCGATCCCAGCCAGTTAGTGTGCCAGAACCTTGCTGTTTGCCCGTTGCCGATGGTCACCGTCGTTGCAGCATTGAACAGGGCTTGATCCAGATCGTCGCAGGGCGTCTCCCCCCCACCCATGGCCGCTGCCGATGTTGCCAGGCTTGCCATAGCCAGCGCAGGCAGAGCGAGCGACTGAATTTTTGCAGCTGCAGAACCCCGAGTCCTCCCTGCTCGATCGGGGAGCAGACCCGAAGCCAGTTAACCTTGCAGCCTCCCCCAGAGAGCTCTTGATCTTTCCCCCAGAGGAAACGACGTCTGCTTTTGTCAATTTTCTTTAGCAGCTTGCTTGGAAACTTGATGGCCGTGAGGGCAAAAGTTGGCAGGGCAGTGAGCACACACCGGACTAGGACGCGGCGGCCGGCGATGGTGAGCATCCGTCCTTTCCAGCCGGCGAGCCTGGCCCTAATGCGATCCAGGATGAACTGAAGGTGGACTAGACGGATCCTACCGGTGACTAGCGGGAGCCCCAAGTATCTGATCGGGAATTGGGCTGTTGGCCCGCCGAAGGACTGGAGCACCGTGGGCAGGTCAATGTCGTCATAGCTGATCGGCGTTGCAGTAGATTTAGCTGTGTTAATCCGCAGTCCCGTGGCATCACCAAAGTCCTTTATGATACTCATCAGGTGGTCAATCTCCTTCACAGGGTTTGCGAAGATGATCGCATCGTCAGCGTACAAACTAACTCTGAGCTTTATTTCCCTTCCTGGGACCGGGGTTATGTCAAGCGCCTGTTCTGCAGCTTGGAGGAGGCGGTGGATGGGGTCGATGGCAATGATGAATAACAATGGTGACAGAGGATCGCCCTGCCTTAACCCCCTCCTATGCTTGATTCTCCTGCCTGGCAAACCATTGAGCAGAAACGACGATGAGGATGTTGAAAGCAGCAGCGTTATCCAATCACGCCAGCGAGCACTAAATCCCAGCTTCGTCATGAGCTCGAGCAGGTACTCCCATGAGACGTTGTCGAAAGCCCTAGAAATGTCAAGCTTTAGGAGCAGCGCCGGCGTCTTCCTGCGATGTAGAGCCCTAACGCAGTTCTGAACATAGACGAAGCTGTCATGGAGGCATCTAGTCTTCAGGAACGCCGTTTGCGCAGGAGAGATAATGGACTGAACTACTGCTGTTAGGCGGATTGATAATACTTTTGAAATCAGCTTAGCTATGGAGTGGATAAGACTGATTGGCCTATAGTCGTTGATGCAGTCGGCGCCATCTTTTTTGGGGATCAGGGCTACTATTGCAGTGTTTAGGAGGTTGAAATTGTGGCCAACAATGTTGTAGAATTGGTTGAAAGCCAGCATGATATCTTCCTTGATAACGGGCTAGCAGGATCTGAAAAAGATGCCGGAGAATCCATCCGGCCCCGGCGACTTCTCTGCCGGAGAGGCCTTGATCGCCTCCCAAACTTCTTCTTCTGTGAAGGGGTTGTCCAGCCCTCCCCCCTGTACTTGCGGCATCTGAAGCTGGCTCCAGTTGATGGCAGTGGGACGATGCTGTGTTGCTCCGAGGATGCCACTGAAGTGTTCGTGGATGGCTTCAGCCTTTTCAGAATAAGCGGTGGTGACTGACCCGTTGATCTTCAGCGCGTGTATGAAGTTCTTGCTTCTTCTGGAATTGATCTTGGCCATGAAAAATTTGATCGTTGCGTCACCCAATCGCAGCCAGGTGAGGCTTGAAGCCTGCCTCTTCCTGCAATGCTCGATCGCCGCCAGGCCGAGCAGCCTGAGCTTCAGTCCTTTCCGGAGCTCGATCTCCACCCGCGTGAGCAGTCGCCGCTCCTGTGCTACGTCGAGGCGTAGGATCACCTCGCAGGCGATATGGAACTGGAGCCGGGTGTCCCCGAAGAGAGACTTGCTCCATATGCGCAGGTCTTTGGCAGTTCTCTCCATCTTGGTGTGCAGCCGCACGAATGGGAAAGACTCCGGCACTGGCCACGCCCAGGCCGCGGTCACCGTGTCGAGGAAGCGCGGGAAGCGAGGCTAGAAGGACTCGAATTTGAACATGCCTCTCCGTCGGGGGCCTGCCGCGTCAGCGAGGAGGAGCGAGCAGTGGTCGGAGCACGACGTGGAGGCCGCCATGAGAAGGGTGCGAGGAAACAAGGCCTCCTAGTGGATGTTGCAGAAGAACTTATCAATACTCACTAGAGTGGGGTTTTCCCGCTCATTGCTCCAGGTAAACCTACAGTTGCTGCACTTGATATGTCGCAGGCCTGCGCTATCGATCGCCGCTCTGAAACAGCCCATAAGCCTTGTGTTTAAATTGAGATTGTTCTTATCTCTAGCTTTGTAAATGAGGTTGAAATCGCTGTTGATTATCCAGGGTTCATCTGGTGGAGGAGCCATTCTCGCAAGCTCTGCGAGGAACGCATCTTTGTGCACATCATCTGTCGGCCCGTAGACCGTAGTGAGCCAGAACGACGTATGATTGCAGGCTACCGCTACTTTAACTGTGATCGCGAATTGGCCTACTACGTGAGTATCTACGGCGACTACGTCCTTGTTCCAGATGATCGCCGCGCCGCCGCGCGTGCCAATGGCGGGCAGCACGACGCAGCCCAGCAGGTTTGCTCCGTTGATGTCGCGAACCAGACTGGGGTTCCACTCGTCCAGTTTGGTCTCCTGGAGACAGAGGATGGCCGTGCAGTGAGCCGCAACTACCTCGCGAAC